ACGCCCAGCTAGTTATTTTATTTTTTGTAGAGACAGGGTCTCACTGTGTCGCCCATTCTGGTCTTGAACTCCTGGGCTCAGGTGATTCTCCCATCTTACCCTCCCCCAAAGTGCTGGGATCACAGGCGTGAGCCACCACACCCAGCACGGATTCACCCATTTTCATACCCACTGCCTACCACTGAAGGGTTTGAGGTTATCACTGATTCATCCCAAACACTTTTTTAAAAAATTATACTTTAAGTTCAGGGGTACATGTGCAGAACGTGCAGGTGTGTTACCTGGGTACACACGTGCCATGGTGGTCTGCTGCATTCATCACCCTGTCATCTGCATTAGGCATTCCTCCGAATGCTACCCCTCCCCTATCCCCCACCCGCTGCTATCCCTCCCCTGGCCTCCCATCACCCAACAAGCCCCGGTGTGTGATGTTCCCCTCCCTGTGTCCATGTGTTCCCATTGTTCAACACCCACTTATGAGTGAGAACACGTGGTGTCATCCCAAACACTACTCACAGTGTTCCCATAGCGGCCTGAGTCCCAGACCTGACCCCCAAGGAACCCCAGGCTGAGGGCGACAGTCAGACTATGAATACCTCCAGCTCAGAGGTCAGGTGTGGGCCAAAGGGAGGGACAGAGGCTGGGAGAGTCATAGGGGTGGGGAAAGCTCTGCTCGGGGCAGCAGAGCAGGCACCAGGGTGGGGGAGCCTCGGGACTGCGCAAGGAGGGATAGCAGAAGCCCTCCCAGTGAAAAGCAGAAAATCATTCTGAGCAGTGGGTCCAGCATGGTCTAGAAGTCAAGCAAACCAGCTTTGGAATCAGACTAACAAAGATTCAAACCCCCCATCTGTGTGGCATCAGGCAAGTCCATTCCCCTTTCAGAGGCTCTGTTTGCCCTTCTGTAGTATGGGACCTCCCAGAGACAGTATTTGCAACACGCCCTGACCGAGCACAGTGGCTCAAACCTGTAATCCCAGCATTTTGGGAGGCTGAGGTCAGGAGTTCGAGACCAGCCTGGTGAAACCCCGTCTTTACAAAAAATACAAAAATTAGTCAGATGTGGTGGCGAGAAGCTGTAATCCCAGCTACTAGGGAGGTTGAGGCAGGAGAGTCACTCGAACCTGAGAGGTGGAAGTTGCAGTGAGCCAAGATCGTGCCACTACACTCCAGCCTGGGTAACAGAGCAAGACTCCATCTCAAAAATAAATATATATATTTGTAACAGACCCAACACATTCTAAGTGCCAGATAGCCCCCTGCCGCCTTTATCCCTGTCCTCACCTGTTCTTGCCCAGAACATTCCCCCCAAAAAAGTAGTCAAAACCCCAAACCAAACAAAAAAACTCCCAACCAGCCAGGGAGAGTGGCTCATGCCTGTTGTCCCAGCTACTCAGGAGGCTGAAGTGGGAGGATCCTTTGAGACCAGGAGTTCGAGATCAGCCTGGATAACACCGAGAGACCCTATCTCAAAAACAAAAACGAAACACCCAAACCATCTTCAGATCCTGATGAGCCCAATGCTGTCAGATTTGCTCTTCCTCTTCCTACATGTTAGGAGAGCCCTGTGCTCGGTACACAGTTGGCACTCAGTAAATGCTGTGATTCACAGATCTGGAAGGAAGTCAGGTGGACATTAAACGTCCCTAAGGAAACTGGCCCATTTTCTCAGTCAAGGCAGAAGTTCAAAAGCAGCTGCCGGAATGCTCAGAGACCAGCATGTCAAGGCTTCTGTTCTGCAGATGAAGGGACTGAGGCCAGGAAAGGAGACGGGGGTCACAGAGCTTGGATGTGGAGTCAGGCTTCCAGGATCCCAGCCGGGAGGTCGAGGTCAGGCTCTATAGACTCTGACTTTGCCCTGATCCACAGGCAGCCCTGGTTGGGCTTGGGAAGTTCCTGGGACTTCAGACAGAATAGCCTTCCCTGCTCTCTGCAGCGCCTCAGCTAGAGACCTTTGCAGGTCACCTCAGTGACTTCAGCTGAACCCCAGCTGCCAGCCTCCACCCCATCCTCCAGCAGCCCCCAAGATGGGAAGCCTGGATGACTTTTTTCTTTTTTTTTGAGATGGAGTCTTGCTCTGTCGCCCAGGCTGGAGTGCAGTGGTGCAATCTCGGCTCACTGCAGCCTCCACCTCCCAGCTTCAAGCAATTCTCCTGCCTCAGCCTCCTGAGTCCGAGATCAGCCTGGATAATAACCTGGGACTATCCCGACACCATGCCCAGCTAATTTTTGTATTGTTAGTAGAGACGGGGTTTCACCATATTGGCCAGGCTGCCATCTGGCCTTTTAAGAGTTCATACTTTCCATCTACTTGGGAGGCTGTGGCAGGAGGATCACTTGAGTCCAGGAGGTTGAGGCTGCAGTGAGCTATGATCACACCACTGTACTCCAACCTGGGAGACAGAGCAAGACCATATCTAAAAAAAAAAAAAAAAAAAAAAAAAGCCAAAAAATGCACACGGACGGCTGGGTGCAGCGGCTCACACCTGTAATCCCAGCACTTTGGGAGGCCAAGGTGGGTGGATCACTAGGTCAGGAGTTCAAGACCAGCCTGGTCAACATGGTGAAACCCTGTCTCTACTAAAAATACAAAAAACCTGACACACACCTGTAATCCCAGCTACTCGGGAGACTGAGGCACAGAACTGCTTGAACCTGTGAGGCGAAGGTTGCAGCGGGCTGAGATCTCACCACTGCACTCCAGCCTGGGTGACAGAGCAAGACTCCATCTCAGAAATAAAATATTAATAATAATGCACACACACACACACACGGCACCTGGTACATTTTGCACATCTTCTCAGGGGTGAGCCTGTAATGCCTGAGGATTGAGAGCTGGAGCCACAGGCACAACAGCTTTTTAAACATACCGTCTTCAGAAAGAAAGAGACGGAAGAAAGAGAGGGAGGAAGGAAAGCTGGCTCGGTGTGAGGAACGAGATCAAGGGTTTCTTCTCCGTCAGCTCAGGCAGTTATAACAAACACCACAGACTGGTGGATTCAATACCAGACATTGATTGCTTACAGTATGGAGGTTAGACGTCCAAGATCAGGGTGCCCGCAGATTCCATGTCTGGTGGGGGCTCTCTAGCTAGCTTGCAGACGGTCACCTTCTTGCTGTGTCCTCCCATGGGAAGAGGAAAACCAAGCTCTGGTCTCTTCTCATGAGGGCTCTAATCCCATCATGGTGGGTCAACCCTCAAGACCTCACCTAAACCTCATCATCTTCCAAAGGCCCCCATCACCAATTACCATCACATGGAGGTGAGGGCTTCAACGTATGAATTGGAGAGGGGGCAGAAGCAAGCATTCAGTTCATAATAGGCTTATCTTCAGAAGACCTGGGCTCAAACCCTGTGCCGTGTGACCTGGGGAAAGTCATTCCACCTCTCTGAGCCTCCTGCTGTGGGGAGGAAGCAGGAGAATGAAGCTTGGCTCGGTGGGGGCTGCTTGCCCATCCTGGAACAGGAACAAGATGAGTGTCAAACGATCTGAGGCAAAAGACAGATCCAAGCCTGGTGTGGTGACTCACGCCTGTAATCCCAACTATTTGGGAGGCTGAGGCAGGCAGATCGCTTGAGGTCAGGAGATCAAGACCAGTCTAGCCAATATGACGAAACCCCATCTCTACTGAAAATACAAAAATTAGCTGGGCGTGGTGGTGTGTGCCTGTAATCCCAGCTACCTGGGAGGTTGAGGCAGAATCACTTGAATCCAGGAGGCAGAGGTTGGAGTGAGCTGAGATCATGCCACTGCCCTCCAGCCTGGGCGACAGAGCAAGACTTAAAAAAAAAAAAAATTCAGATCCAGGCATGAACTGGATATGATCACCCTAATCCAGAGTTGGGGGCCCAGGGAGGGAGTTAGAGCCTGGAGGTGACAGGAAAGGCTTCTTGAGCCGGCTCTTGATCGGTGTGGCAGGGGGGTGACAAAGATGAGAGGTGATGGGGGCTATGGTTTGTGTCCCATAGACCTGAGTTTCTCAAACTGGGAGTGGTGGGAGGATAGGGGCAGAGTCTTGGGATAAACAGAGGACTGAAAATTTAGGGAAAGTTGGGGACATTTTATTAAAATGAACATGGCCTATATGCAAAAAAAAATTTAAAGACTTAACCTGAGCCTTCAAAGAAAGTGATCCTGTAGCGGTAAGTCTCTTCTAGCCAAGCCTCCAAAGCCCGGAAATGAGGCAGTAGATCTGAGCCCTTCAGCCTTTCAGAGTATTTTGGTGAGAGTCTGAAAAACACTGCCTTGGGCCATAGGGAGCCATAGCAGGTTCTAGGCAGAGGAAGGGCAGATGTATTTGTTAGAAAGTTCTCTGGCTGCCCGTGTTGAGGTCAGAACAAAAGGGAGAAAGGCTGGGGACAGGGCTATGGGGGGTATCCAGGCACGGAGAATGAGACTGCTTAACCCCACATCATGGTGAGGCTGCACGCCTGAAACCGGAATGTGTGTAGTTCTGGAAAACGTGTAGCGTCCTCAGTTTCCCAAAAGCTGTCATCGGTTTCCCTAGAGTCCTGGGGACCCCAATAAGGCTAAAACAGCTGGTCCTCAGAAGAGGAAAGGACGATGTGACAATCCTATCAGGTAACCATGGATGGCGTGGTGCATGCTATGGTAACTCCTGTTTTACAGATGAGGAAACTGAGGCCCTGAGAGACACAGGGCGCTTGTGAATATGGGTGGGCACCCCTGCACCTTGGGGACGTGCCCCAGCCCCCAAGCTGACCCGTCCCCCGCTCTGTCGTCCCCAGGTGGAGGAAGAGCTGACGCACCTCCAGAAGAAACTAAAAGGGACCGAGGACGAGCTGGACAAATATTCCGAGGACCTGAAGGACGCGCAGGAGAAGCTGGAGCTCACGGAGAAGAAAGCCTCCGACGTACGAGCGCAGGGATGCGGGAGCCCGCGGCGGAGCCGGGCGGACGGGTGGGCGGGGAGCGCCGCAGGAGGAGGAGGAGGAAGAGGAGGAGGAAGAGGAGGAGGAGGCGGCGCCTCCCGGCGCTTTTTCCAAATAAGTCCCGAAAAAAGGGCACTTTCCAGCAGCTGTGGCCAGCGGTGCCGACGTCAGGCCCTCCCCCAGCGGTGCTGACGTCGGCGGCCCGGCCGGGTGACCTCATCGTCCCGAAGGCGGCCGGCCCGGGGGGCGGGGAGAGGCGGGGGCGGCCCCCGCGCAGGCAAAGGCTGGGGGGCCGGGGCGCGGCCGTGCAGCTCTCGCCGGAGCCGAGCCCAGCCGAGCACCCGCCGCCGCCCGTGCGCCCCTGCGCCTCCGCGCCATGGCCGGCCTCAACTCCCTGGAGGCGGTGAAACGCAAGATCCAGGCCCTGCAGCAGCAGGCGGACGAGGCGGAAGACCGCGCGCAGGGCCTGCAGCGGGAGCTGGACGGCGAGCGCGAGCGGCGCGAGAAAGTGAGCGCCCCTGCCGCGGCCCCGCGCCCGCAGCCTCCTCCCCCGCGCGCCCTCCTTTCTTCCCTGCTGCCCGCGCGCCCTCGCGCGGTCCTGGGGCCCCGATCGCGGAGCCGCTTCCCCGTGCCCGGGACCCCTTTCTTCCGCCCCCGTCCTCCCTCCTGGGCCTGGGACTGGGGAGGGGGCGCCGCATCCCGGTCGGGCGGGGCCGGCCGCGCGGGAAATGGGGGATGGGACCGAGGAGGTGCGCGATCCCCGGGTGGAGAGGTGGAGAGGTGGAGCGGCGGGCAGGGTGCACCGTGCAGGCTCCGGCTCGGGGTTGGCGCCCGGGTCCCGGGCGGAGGGAAACCCGCGGCCGGACTTGGGGGCGGGGAGTGAGGATGGAAACGTGGAGCTTCTATTGTCTGGGCTTTGACCGGCCGACCAGAATTTCGGCGGCGGTCCGCGGATCTGGGAAGGGGGCGGCACTTTCTCGCCTCTGTCGCGGTTTCCCAGCTCCTGCCTGGACTTCCCCGACCGTTCCCAGGGGCGCGGCGGCGACGTGTCTGCTCCAGGCGGGGTTGGTGGGGGGGCGGCGGAAGTTCAGCCCCGAGCCGCCCGCCTTTCTCTCTCCAGCTGATTCCTGCGGGAACCTGGGCGGCGGGACCCTGCCTTCCTTCAGAAGGCGCCGGGAACGCTACCGCGGGGCCCCGGACCCACGATCGTTTGAGCGCCTGCAGTGCGCCTCCGCCAGGAGTCGCGGGGCCCAAGCCAGACAATGGGTCTGGAAAAGGAGGCAGTTTCACCACCTCCTCAGCATCATCCCCTGGCTGTCCCTCGGGACAGATGGTGGCACCGCCAGGGGCTGGGGACAGATCTGGATTCTGGTCCCATCTCATGCCATCTACCAGCTGCATGACTTGATATTTACAATCTAGGACCTGTTTTCCCCCGTCTGTGAGTAGGATTGATAAGAATGCCGACCCTTCAGAGGAGCAGGGAGGGTCCCAGGAGCAAAATGTCAGGCATGGAGCCTGGTGCTTTGTAAGTGCTAGATTGTGTTTTGTTTTTTGTTTTTATTTTTGAGACAGAGTCTCGCTCTGTCGCCCAGGCTGGAGTGCAGCGGCCCGATATCAGCCCACTGCAACCTCCACCTTCTGGGTTCAAGCGATTCTCCTGCCTCATCCTCCGGAGTAGCTGGGATCACAGGCGTGCACCACCACGCCCGGCTAATTTTTTTTTGTTTGTTTGTTTCCAGAGACAGGGTTTCCCCATGTTGGCCAGGCTGGTCTCAAACTCCTGACCTCAGGTGATCCACCTGCCTCGGCCTCTCAAAGTGCTGGGATTATAGGCGTGAGCCACCACGCCTGGCACTTTTTTGTATTTTTAGTAGAGATGGGGTTTCACCATGGTGGCCAGGCTGGTCTCGACTTCCTGGCCTCAAGTGATCCGTCCACCTCTGCCTCCCAAAGTGCGGGGATTGCAAACCTGAGCCACCGCGCGCGGCCTCAATTGTGTTTTCTGTGCCTTCCCTCTGCCCTGGGAAGAGCTCACAGAGAAATGGAGATAGAGGCACTGACTCACTGATGAAGTTGCATTCCACGGGTTTTCTGTGCAGTTACGGGAGCATGACACGGGAGGCTCCAAAATGGAGGTTGAGCAGGGTCTTGTAGAATAAGTAAGTTTACTGGGACCAGAGAAGTGAGTGTGCACAGACTCAGAGGCAAGAAAGTTGCATGGTGTGGGGGGATGGGAAGGCAGTGCGGGTAAGGGTTGAAGCCCAAGAGCCCTGAAAGCTAGGTAAGTGTTAAGGCTCAGGTGGGAACCCTAGAGGGGCAATAGGTGCCTGGCCAGATGGAATTGGTGGTGTGAATTGTCAGGTCTGGGAAGGGTCCAGATGGGGGCCACCACCTGGGCCCTGGTTGAAGCGTTTAATCCTGTAAGGATTGCTTTGGCCTGAAGAGGCCTTAGAAACCCGGTGTAAGCCTCAACCGGTAGCCGGTCTGGCCTCTTTCTCACACTTAACCGACACAGCTCTCCCTCTGATCTCATCCCAAGTCATCTCGCTGGAGGACAATTAACTCGGCTTCAAAATGGCCCTCAGCCGCAAGCCAAGACTTAGGAGTGGGACTGCCTGGTTGGGAGGGGGGATGTTTTTTGGAAAGTTGAAGACTTTCACAAGTTCAAAAAGTTCTTGAAAAAGCAAAGGATGCTTCTCTGCCTGGGAGAGGGAAAAAGCTCTCCCAGGGCAAAAGGAACTAAGAACAGGGGTGGGTAAAAAAAAAAAAAAAAAAAACCCTTTCACTCTTGTAGAATAAGCCAGGAGCCGGCATGTGGTAGACTTCTGGGCCTGTTTCCCGACAGCTGGTTTCGTTTAGATTTTTGTGTGATTAACTGACATCTTCCTGTTCCTTTGCCACATGTATCTAGCAAGCCTCTTTTACCTTATAAGGGAAACCCTTTGTAGCCTGTGGAAGGCTTTGATTGCAGGAAGGGGTGGAACCCAAAATGACTGGCAGTGACTAGCAGTTTTTCAAAAATACATATATATGTATGCATGTATAGATATGCGTGTATCTCTCAGCTCCAGACAGTTGAAAATCTGCCAAAAGCGCTGGCTGCCAGGATTCAGAATTTCCTACGTAAGGGTTACTCACTTCTTAAAAGACAGCTCATGAATCAAGCACCTCTGTTTGATCTTTCAGATCAATTCCTTGACTGCTAATAGGTACGCGGTGTTCGTTTTTGATTGTTTTTGGCGGTAGATGAAAATGTCGTGGAATTGGATAATGGTGTTGGCGTTTTTTTTGCAACATCAGTTCCTGCCCTAGTTACTGAAGGTGGTAGGAGGAGTTAAGATCTATGCAATTAAAAAGAATGAAAGGCACCCATTCGTGGGAAGCCCTGAGTGGCGTTTCTGAAGACAGTTTCATCAGTGGTTTTCGTGGATTGTCTGTATTGGTGTTTCAGAGGACGCTGCAATCAGACACACCTGTGGGAGTGCCCGTCTGCTTCTAGGAATCTGGGGCTGAGAAGCCTTCCTGACTCAACTTGTGTCTTTCAGCCAGTTAACTTAGGGGGCAGGACAGGAAGTGGTCCTAATAATTTTTTCTTTTTTTCTTTTTTTTTGACATGGAGTCTCTCTCTGTCACCCAGGCAGTGGTGTGGTCTCAGCTCTCTGCAACCTCCGCCTCCCAGGTTCAAGCAATTCTCCTGCCTCAGCCTTCCAAGTAGCTGGGACTACAGGCTCACACCACCACGCCAGCTGATTTTTGTATTTTTAGTAGAGACGGGTTTTCACTATGTTAGCCAGGCTGGTCTCGAACTTCTGACTTGGTGATCTGCCCAGCTTGGCCTACCAAAGTGCTGGAATTACAGACGTGAGCCACCGTGCCTGGCCGTTTTGTTTTGTTTTGTTTTGTTTCTTTGAGATAGTCTTGCTCTGTCGTCCAGGCTGGAACGCAGTGGCACAATCTCAGCTCACTGCAACCTCCACCTCCTGGATTCAAACGATTATTCTGCCTCAGCCTCCCAAGCTGGGATTGCAGGTGCCGCCACCAGGCCCAACTAATTTTTTGTTTTTTGTTTTTTGTTTTTGTTTGTTTGTTTGTTTGTTTTTGAGACGGAGTTTCGCTCTTGTTACCCAGGCTGGAGTGCAATGGCGCGATCTCGGCTCACCGCAACCTCCGCCTCCTGGGTTCAGGCAATTCTCCTGCCTCAGCCTCCTGAGTAGCTGGGATTACAGGCACGCGCCACCATGCCCAGCTAATTTTTTGTATTTTTAGTAGAGACGGGGTTTCACCATGTTGACCAGGATGGTCTCGATCTCTTGACCTCGTGATCCACCCGCCTCGGCCTCCCAAAGTGCTGGGATTACAGGCTTGAGCCACCGCGCCCGGCCAATTTTTTGTTTTTTTATTGGAGACAAGATCTCACCATGTTGGCCAGGCTCGTCTCAAACTCCCGATCTCATGTGATCCATCCACTTGCCCGGCCTCCCAAAGTGGTAGGATTACAGGCGTGAGACCACACCCGGCTTTCCTAATAATTTTGATAGCCTTCCCAATTCAGGGATTCTTCATTTGCCCTGATAGGAAAAAGCTAGTGTGGCTTCCTTTTTTCCCTCGATTGAGGCCTGTTTGACCTATTCTCAATATTCCTTCCGAAGAGTAGGTATCACTGGAAAACTTGCCTGGCCTCAAAGCCCTGGCAGGACCTAGGTGACAGATTCTGACAAGGAAGAGCCCTGGATGGGTCTTCAGAGACCATTCGTAGCTTACCAACTGAGTCACTGAACAAAACCACTTCCCCTGGTGGGGCCCCTCAGTTTCTCCACCTGTAAAATGGATGCAACGTGTGAGGATGAAATTGCAGTAAAATAAAACCATGGCAGTAAGAGATGCGGTCCTCTGGTACATCCCACCTGCTGGGGGTAAGCAGCGTCACATCCTGGAGTTACAGCCTCAAGGCGGTCCTATAACTAACCAGGCTTTGGGATGGAGAGGGCCAGGACAGTGAAGCAACCTTCCCAACACCGTGGGGCTATGAAAATGACAAAGCAGCTGGGCGCGGTGGCTATGCCTGTAATCCCAGCACTTTGGGAGGCCAAGGCAGGTGGATCATCCGAGGTCAGGAGTTCAAGACCATCCGAGGTCAGGAGTTCAAGACCATCCTGGTCAACATGGTGAAACCTCATTTCTACTAAAAATGCAAAAATTAGCCAGGCATGGTGGTGGGTGCGTGTAATCCCAGCTATTTGGGAGGCTGAGGCAGGAGAATCGCTTGAACCTGGAGGCAGAGATTTCAGTGAGCCAAAATCACGCCATTGCACTCCGGCCTGGGTGACAGAGCGAGACTCCATCTCAACAACAACAAAAAGCAGAAAATGGCAAAGTATGGCCGGGCGCGGTGGCTCATGCCTGTAATCCCAGTACTTTGGGAGGCCCAGGCGGGTGGATCACATGAGGCCAGGAGTTTGAGACCAGCCTGGCCAACAAGACAAAACCCCATCTCTACTAAAAATACAAAAAATTACAGGCATGGTGCACGTCTGTGATCTCAGCTACTGGGGAGGCTGAGGCAGGAGAATTGCTTGAACCTGGGAGCGGAGGTTATAGTGAGCCGAGATCGTGCCACCGCACTCCAGCCTGGGTGACAGTGAGGGACTCCATCTCAAAAAAATAAAAGGAAAAGAAAATGACAGATCGGGGGATTCCAACCCAGCACTTTTTGGCCCTGGAGTTCCTGCTTTATTGCTTCCCATTGTACTTCCTTCCTTGTAGGTAAAAACACCTCGAAGAGCCAATAACACCGCTGGGGTATGTTTTCCATGCCTGCAACCAAGTTTTCTTTCCCTTTTCATATCTTTTGTCCTGCCATGGAATTCCAACAAGGCTGCCCCACCTTTTCTCACCTTGTTAATTGCATGGCCAACATTTTTTTTTTTTTTTTTTTTTTTTTTGAGATGGAGTTTCGCTCTCGTTGCCCAGGCTGGAGTGCAATGGCGCAATCTCAGCTCACCGCAACCTCTGCCTCCTGGGTTCAGGCAATTCTCCTGCCTCAGCCTCATGAGTAGCTGGGATTACAGGCACGTGCCACCATGCCCAGCTAATTTTTGTATTTTTAGTAGAGATGGGGTTTCACTATGTTGACCAGGACGGTCTCGATCTCTTGACCTTGTGATCCACCCTCCTCAGCCTCCCAAAGTGCTGGGATTACAGGCTTGAGCCACCGCGCCTGGCTGCATGGCCAACATTTAATTGAGGGCTTCATATTCTTGGATTTACCTTGCTGTTCAGTGAATGGGAGCGGAACTCACGGGACACGATGAGCCAGGTCACTGATGGCCTTGCTTTCTAGGAATCCCACAGTGAGCCCTAGAACTCTACACGTTAACGCTGTGCGCCTTTTTCAGAAAACAGCCCATCTTGGGTCTTAGCCTAACATTGGGTCTATTGTGAGCTGCTGGGGAGGCCAGCACTGACGCTGATCTCAAAGCACATGGTATATTTGTCTCCTGCGTTGACTCAACTCCCTGTCTTGTACTGGGACACTCGCCTTTTGCTATTGAGTGGTGGATGTATTTCCCGGACATTTTCAGAGAAGATCAGATTGAAATTTTGGTACGAGTGTTAATTCCTTATGGCCTGGACTCCTGAGTGGGCTTTGAGGGGGAAATCGGGTTAATGGAGGGCAGGACACATGAGAGGTTCCCACTGGTGGGTGGCCCGATACTTCTTAACTTGGCTGCACCTCCAACCCCCCCTAGGCTGAAGGTGATGTGGCCGCCCTTAACCGACGCATCCAGCTTGTTGAGGAGGAGCTGGACAGGGCTCAGGAACGACTGGCCACAGCTCTGCAGAAGCTGGAGGAGGCGGAAAAGGCCGCAGATGAGAGTGAGAGGTAAGGATGCTTTGAATCTGGTGGCATCCATGTTTGCTTTTGGAAAATGGGGATTGGATCGTGCTGCCCACCTCCCAGAGCTGGCATGAAAGTAAACAAGGTCACAGAGACACGCACCTGTCCACAAATGCATGACAGCGCTTTGTAAACCGTCACTCCATGCGTAGAGATGTTTATCCTTGGCCGGGCACGGTGGCTCACGCCTGTAATCCCAGCACTTCGGGAGGCTGAGGCAGGCAGATCACCTGAGGTCAGGAGTTCGAGACCAGCCTGGCCAACATGGTAAAACCCCATCTCTACTAAAAATACAAAAAATTAGCCAGGTATGGTGGCAGGTGCCTGTAATCCCAGCTACTTGGGAGGCTGAGGCAAGAGAATCACTTAAACTTGGGAGGCACAGGCTGCAGTGAGCCGAGATCATGCCATTGTACTTCAGCCTGGGCAACAACAGCAAAACTCCATGTCAAAAAAAGGGGGTGCGGGGCATTTATCCTAATGGTAACCATGAAAAGAAACTTCCAACAGACAGAAAGGCAGACAGAATGGACAGATGTGAGACTGCAGGTATGACTGTTTGTGGCGGTTGGTTTGTAAAGCATTGCTTCTCATATTTTCTCTGAAAGCCATGGTGCCTCTTCTCAGTGTTCTTGAGACACCAAATTTCAGGGTAGACCAGGTATGGTGGCTCCTGCTGTAATCCCAGCACTTTGGGAGGCAGAGGCAGGCAAATCGCCCGAGCTCAGGCGTTCGAGGCCAACCTGGGCAACCTGATGAGACCCTGTCTCTACAAAAAAATACAAAAATTAGCTGGGTGTGGTGATGTACACCTGTAGTCCCAGTTACTCAAGAGGCTGAGATGGGAGGATCACTTGAGCCTGGGAGTTTGAAACTGCAGTGAGGCAAGACGGCACCACTGTACTCCAGCCTCTGAAGGAGTGAGACCCTGTCTCAAAAAAAAAGAAAGAAAGAAATTCAGGATACTGTGGAAAGGAGGAAAGGAAACTTGGGATGTGTAGGCGATTGTTAGTGGAGTTCTCAGGTAGGCTTTAGGCTTTTGGACGGTCACAGCTATTTCAGGGACTGGTGCAAACCAGCAAGGTTAACGTGCTTGAAACTGACCCTGAGCCGCATGCAGTGTCTCACGCCTGCAATTCCAGAACTTTGGGAGGCTGAGGCAGGCGGACCTGAGGTCAGGAGTTCGAGACCAGCCTGGCCAACAAGGTGAAACTCCGTCTCTACTAAAAATACAAAAATTAGCCGGGTGTGGTGATGGGCGCCTGTGATCCCGCTACTCGGGAGGGTGAGGCAGGAGAATCGCTTGAACTTGGGAGGCAGAGGTTGCGGTGAGCCGAGATCGCACCACTGCACTCCAGCCTGGACAAGAGAGTGAGGCTCTGTCTCAAAAAAAAAAAAAGAAAGAAAGAAAGAAACTGACCATGTTCCTCGCCCCCGCATGGCATCTGTTCTGCATCTCGGCTACCAGCAGGGTGCCCTCTCCTCAGGAGCTGGATCATTCTCTGGCACGCCTTGGCACAGGCTCCCTGGAAGACTGAGAGTAGATTGTGTAATTCACAGAAGCAGCAGTCTCTGTGTGTGGTGGAAAAGGAGTTCCTTGTGCGGCAGTGGTGTGGGCCCAAGCATCGATCATTGCGTCTGCCCTCAGTCACACCAGAGTTCTCACTTGAGCCAGCCACCATGGTTTTGTAGTATAAACGCCTCCCAAAGATGTATTTCTTTATTTTGTTTGTTTGTTCGAGATGGGGTCTCACTCTGTCACTCAGGCTGGATTGCAGTGGCACTGTCTCAGCTCCGTGAAACCTCTGCCTCCTGGGCTCAAGCGATCTTCCCACCTCAGCCTCCAGAGTGAAGCTGGGACTACAGGCACCCACCACCACGCCCGGCTAATTTAAGGTGCATTTCTCACTGTGGTGTGGTGACCGCTAACCAGAGATCAGAAACCGGCTCAGGGAACCTTGGAGATGGCATGTTGTTCAAGCTGGAAATTTCTTCTCAAATAATGGAACAACCAGGGCAGAGGGAAAAGCCACCACAGCAGACTCTGCTTCAGCCACTGAATTGATGCAGAGTGGCGGCTCCGGGCAGCCATGGGGCAGTGGAAGATCTGGTCACAAGCGCTCCTGGCTGTGCCTGGGGCCTGGGTTAGCTGCTGTCACTGTCAGACCAGCCTGGCTGGGTGCCCACGTTGAGGGCTCCCATCTTGGCAAACCAAGAGAGCCTGCGAAGGCCAGTCTCTTCTTTCCATCATGTTATCCCGAGGGCTTTGGTGACACCCCTGTTAGACTGCTGTGTCTCAATAGAAAGAATTCTATACTTGAAGCAGGGGATGTAGAGTCAGCTTCTCCCACTGGCACTTTCTGTGTAGCCTTGGGCAGATCATTTTGATCTCTTGGGTGCTGCAGGGGGTTTGGCAGTAGATATCCCAGCAAGCTTGCTCACGTGCTGAGGGCGAGACCTTGTACACCCTCGTGAGGGTGTTTTGAGACTTAACTGAGAATGGGTGACACCCGACATGGACATATATATTGGACGGCAAGAAGTATATGGTCTCTGCGCTGGGCGGCAGTGATACATGTCAGTGACACATCATCCCAGGCCAGCCTCTTCTTTTTTCTTTTTTTAAATGCACAAGGTCTTGGCAGGGTACGGTGGCTTATGCCTGTAATCCCTTGGGAGGTGGGCAGATCGCTTGAGACCAGCCTGGGCAACACAAGGAGACCCCATCTCTACAAAAAAAATATTAAAGGTTAGCCACGCATGGTAGCACATGCTGGTAGTCCCATCCACTCAAAGGGCTGAGGTGGGAGCATCACCTGAGCCCAGGAAGTCAAGGCTGCAGTGAGCCATGATTGCACTGCTACACTCCAGCCTGGGCAACAGAGTGAGACCCTGTCTCAAGAAAAAAAAAAAAAAAGTACACATCTTGCTCTGTCACCCAGGCTGGAGTGCAGTGGTGCAGTCACGGCTCACTGCAGCCTTGAACTCCTTGGTGAGAGCGATCCTCCCACCTCAGCAACATAGCAAGACCCCCACCTCCACACACACCATTTTTTTTTAAATTTAGCCAGGTGTGGTGGCACACACCTATAGTCCCAGCTACTCAGGAGGCTGAGGCAACAGGATGGCTTGAGCCTGGGAGGTCAAGGCTGCCATGAGCTCTCCAGGCACCACGGCACTCCAGCCCGGGCAACAGAGTAAGACACCATCTCTCAAAATAAAAGAGCTGGGCACGGTGGCTCACGTCTGTAATCCCAGCACTTTGGGAGGCTGTGGCAGGTGGATCAGCTGATGCCAGGAGTTCGAAACCAGCCTGACTGACATGGTGAAACCCCATCTCTACTAAAAATACAAAAAAATTAGCCGGGTGTGGTGGCTCACACATGTAATTCCACCTATTCAGGAGGCTGAGGCAGGAGAATTGCTTGAACCCAGAAGGCAGAGGTTGCAGTGAGCCAAGATCACACGACTGCACTCCAGCCTGGGCAATAGAGCAAGACCCTGTCTCAGAAAAATAAATAAATAAGTAAATAGAAAGGGAACATAGACTCAAATCAGACTGCTGAGGTCTAAGCCGCAGCTCTACCACTTACCAGTGCTATAACCTTAAGCAAGTTACTTAACCTTTCTCTAGGCCTTAGTTTCTTCATCTGTAAAATATGGATAATGTACCTGCACCATAGGGCTGTTGTGAAAGTGACGGCACTTAGAACAGTGGCTGGTAGTCAGTAAAGAGGAAGGGATGCTGGGCACCGTGCTCACACCTGTAGGTCAGGAGTTTGAGGCCAGCCTGGCCAACATAGCGAACCCTCATCTCTGTTAAAACTATAAAAGCCAGGCGTGGTGGTGCACACCTACATAGTCCCAGCTCCTCAGAGGCTGAGACAGGAGTACCGCTTAAACCTGGAGGCGGAGGTTGCAGTGTGCCATCACGCTATTGCACTCCAGCCTGGGTGACAGAGCGAGACTCTATCTCAAAAAAAAAAAAAAAAAAAAAATGAAGGGAATGTGTTTGCAGAGTTTCACCTTTGCAGTGTGTCACAGTGCTCAGTAGATTCAGAGACACGTTTAGATGAGAGATGGGGCCGGGGTGGTGTCTCATGCCTGTAATTCCAACGCTTTGAAAGGCCAAGGTGGTAGGATCACTTGAACCCAGGAGTGTGCAACCAGCCTGAACAGCATAGTGAGACCCCATCTCTGAAAAAAAAATTTTTTTTTTTAAATAGGCAGAGGTTGTAGTGAACCAAGATCACACCACTGCACTCCAGCCTGGGCAGCAAGAGTGAAACTCCATCTCAATCAATCAATCAATCAATAAATAAATTTTAAAAAATGAAAATAAAATAAAAATTACCCGGACGTGGTGGCAGGTGCCTGTAATCCCAGGTACCGAAGAGGTTGAAACAGGAGAACTGCTTGAACCCTGGAGGTGGAAGTTGTAGTGTGCGAAGATTGCGCCACTGCCGTCTCAAAAAAAAAGATAGATGAGGCCGGGCGCGGTGGCTCACGCCTGTAATCCCAGCATTTTGGGAGGCCGAGGCGGGTGGATCACGAGGTCAAGAGATCGAGACCATCCTGGCCAACATGGTGAAACCCTGTCTCTACTAAAAAAAATACAAAAATTAGCTGGCCGTGGTGGCGCACGCCTGTAGTCCCAGCTACTCGGGAGGCTGAGGCCGGAGAATTGTTTGAACCTGGGAGGTGGAGGTTGCAGTGAGCCAAGATCACGCCACTGCCCTCTATCCTGGCGCCTGGCAACAGAGCAATACTGTCTCAAAAAAAAAAAAAAAAAGATAGAGGTGGGTGGAGGAAGGGTGTGAGTGAAAGCGCCCCTGGTTGCTCCTTGCAGAGGAATGAAGGTGATCGAAAACCGGGCCATGAAGGATGAGGAGAAGATGGAGATTCAGGAGATGCAGCTCAAAGAGGCCAAGCACATCGCGGAAGAGGCCGACCGCAAATACGAGGAGGTGAGTGAGGCTGGCAGATGGCGCGGCAGCAGGAAGCGGGAGGAAATGCATCTGCCGAGATAGCAGGGACGCCGCGGCCACCAAAGGAAGCTCTTGGTTAGGTCAGCTGTCCTCCTGCGCGCACATATGTTTGTCCAGAGACAGCCGCTTGGCTAGGAAACTGTTTCCCACGATGCCAAAAAAAGTCCCGCGGATGCTTGTGTAACGTAATGGGAAAACGGATCGGCTCACTTGCGTCCCTAGCTGGGCGTTTTGGCACAGTTGGGCAGAAATGGAGGATTGTGGTCCCAAGCCGTGGATTTTTCAGACCGTGCAGGCTCAGCCCCTCCTTTGCCTGCCTCGGTGGCTCGGCTCGGCTCTTCCCTCGCGCCTCTTGACTGCCTCCCTCCTCGGGCCTGAGGAAGAGAATCAGGATTTCCTCCAGGCCCCGGGATGGCTATTTGAGTTGAAGCACCAGCAAAAGGCCAGGCTCGGTGGCTCAGACCTATAACCCCAGCACTAAGGGTGACCCAGGTGGGAGGATCGCCTGAGGCCTGGGAAACATAGTGAGACCCCATTTCTATAAAATAAAATAATAATAATTAGCTGGACATGGTGGCATGCACCTGTAGTCCCAGCTACTTGGGAGGCTGAAGCAGGAAGATCGCTTCAGCCTGGGAAGTCAAGGCTGCAGTGAGCTCTGACCGCACCGCTGCACTCCAGCCTTGGAGACAGAGCAAGACCCTGTGTCAAAACAATTTTTAAAGGCCAGGAGTGGTGGCTCAGGTCTATAATTCCAGCACTTTGGGAGGGCAGATCACCTGAGGTCAGGAGTTCATGACCAGCCTGGCCAACATAGAGAAACCCCGTCTCTACAAAAAAGACAAAAATTAGCCAGGCGTGGTGGTGCGTGCCGATAATCCCAGCTACTCGGGAGGCTGAGACAGGAGACTCACTTGAACCCAGGAGGTGGAAATTGCAGTGAGTCAGGATTGCACCACTGCACTCCAGCCTGGGTGAGAGAGAGAGAGAGACTCTGTCTCAAAAAAATTTAAAAAATAGAACCAGCAGAAAACCCCATGTTGCAGCTGATCTAGGGGTCTGGGTGGGGCATCCGTGGGGGCTCCCTGCAGTGGGTGGGAGAGGGCACAGCTGGTGGGGATTGGGCTCAGTTGGGCCTTTCTGTCTCTGCAGGTAGCTCGGAAGCTGGTCATCCTGGAGGGTGAGCTGGAGAGGGCAGAGGAGCGTGCGGAGGTGTCTGAACTGTGAGTGGCACAACAGGACTGAGCGAGGCTGGCTCAGCTCCCGGGGTGGAGTGGGCGGGAGCTGGCTGTGCTGGGAATTGGCTCTGACCGGGGCCTCTGCTCAAGTGGACGGGCGTCGGGAGCTCATGGCTCATCCTCTCATCCTTTCTCTTGGTTTCCGTGACAAAGAGAGGTGGTGACTGTTCTTACTGCCGCGGGAAGTGCCGCCTACGTCTTGACCCTTCCCGCAAAGATATGGGGAAATAGGAGTGAGACAGGAGGCAGCTGGGAAGCCCATTTTCCCAGAGAGGCTATCTCAGGGGGCTGTGCCATCTTAACACAACCCTGACCTGCTTCAGAGGGCAGGAGCCCCCATCCGTATGTAAGCGCCTTGCTCCTCCTGTCAGTGTTTGGCCGAGGCACATTCCTGGGGGGAAGGTGAGAAGCTTAACAGGAATCCCACGAGCACTGAGAGCACTGGAAAACAAAACACCTGCCCTCTTGGCCTCGGGCGAGGAATTCAGCCCCACAGAGCATCCTGGAGTGTGGACAGAGATCTGGTTTCACAAATCCACTCCGGGCTTCCTTCCTGGCGTGTCCCATGCAAACTCTTCATTGCTGTCCGCCTGTCTCCTGCCCTCAATCCCATTCATACACCTTCCGGAGTCAGGCTCATCAATCATAGATTTCACAGGTTGGTGTTGCCTCACCCTTGGCAGAAGACCAGGAGTGCTTTCCAAGCCCTCCAAAGACTCCTGGGGCCGGCCTCGCCTCTGCCTGGTATGGTAGGGCTTTGATAAGCTCATAGCAGTGCACTGCAGAAAAATCCATTAACATTTTTCCTCCACATTCCTTCTGGGGCCCCCCCTGGGGCTGTGTAGGTTTCTCGTTTTGAAAATTTATCTTAGGGTCGATTGCTATTGCCCAGCTGTAAGGGAAGATAAGACACAAAAATCCTTTGTCTTTGTGCAGAAAATGTGGTGACCTGGAAGAAGAACTCAAGAATGTTACTAACAATCTGAAGTCGCTGGAGGCTGCATCTGAAAAGGTTGGTGGTTGGCTGGAGCTGGAGGGGGGCTTGCCTGACTTGACTCTTCTCTTCTCCCGAGGGATGGGGGAACATGTCAGGGTATGGGGAATCTGACCTTTATTTAACGGTAGCATTGGTGCCTGGCAGCCAGGCTTTTTCCCCTACAGAAAGAGCTGGATTTCTCATCACTCTTGGGTGTCCTCTTCCATGGGGTCTGAGCACCGTCTCTGATCTCCATCTCAGGAGTATAGAGATGGAACATGAGGTGGCCGGGTGTGGTGGCTCACGCCTGCAATCCTAGTACTTTGGGAGGCCAAGGTGGGTGGATCACAAGGTCAGGAGTTCTAGACCAGCCTGACCAACATAATGAAACTCTGTGTCTACTAAAAATACAAAAATTAGCCAGGCATGGTGGCAGGAGCCTGTAATCCCAGCTCCTTGAGGCTGAGGCAGGAGGATCGCTTGAACCCGGGAGGCGAACGTTGCAGTGAGCCGATATCATGCCATTGCACTCCAGCCTGGGCAAGCAAGCAAGACTCTCTTAAAAACAAACAAACAAACAAAAGAACACGAGGCTCCTTTTAGGGAGATCTGAGCATAGTCGTCGTATAAATACAGAGGCTCCCTCTCACCTGGTTGCCTGGTTCCTCCAGAAATACCATCTCAAAGGTGCAACAACGATCAGAGGCGGAATTGGGCTTTTTAGGTTGAAACAGCACCCAAAGCAGTCACTACATGGCAACTAAGTCAGGAACAAAGGACACACTTCCCTGGCCGAACCTCACTGAATCCCACAGCCTCTTCTCTTCCTCGTTCTTGCTCCTGCTTTTGCAGTTTCACAGACCTGTTTTGTTCTCCCATCACCTCCACACCGCACCTTTTTTTTTTGAGACAGTCTCACTCTGTCGCCCAGCTGGAATTCAATGGCACGATCATAGTTCATTGCAGTCTTGAACTCCCAGGCTCCAGTGACCCTCCCACCTCAGCCACCACCTGCTCTTCACCCAGCTGGGTGTGGCTTTCCCTTTTTGCTTGATAAACTCCCAATTCACCCCTTTTTTTTTTTTTTTTTTTTGAGACAGAGTCTCACTCTGTAACCCAGGCTGGAGTGCAGTGGTGCCATCTTGGACCACAGCAGCCTCCTCCCAGGTTATAGTGATTCTCCCATCTTGGCCTCCCGAGTAGCTGGGATCGCAGGTGTGAGCCATCGTGCCTGGCTAATTTTTATAATTTTTGTAGAGACATTTCATCATGTCAGCCAGGCTGGTCTTGAACTCCTAATCTCAAGTGATCTGTCCACCTCAGCCTCCCAAAGTGCTGGGGTTACAGGCATGAGCCATCACGCCCAGCCTAGAGATGAGATCTCACTCTGCTGCCCAAGCTGGAGTGCAGTGGCGTGATTATAGCTCACTGCAGGCCCCAAACGCCTGGGCTTGAATAATCCCGCCATCTCAGCTTCCTGGGTAGCTAAGACTTGCAGGCATGCGCCACTACTCCTAAACTGTTTTGTGTTTTTTTGCAGAGTGCAGTCTCACTGTGTTGCCCAGGCTGGTCTTAAACTCCTGGGCTCAAGTGATCCTCGCACCTCAGCTTCCCAAAAGTGCCAGGATTACAGGTGTGGGCCGCTGTGCCTGGTCTCCTATTCGTCCTTTAAGCTTCTGCTTAAACATCACTTCTTCTGAGGGGCCTTTTCTGATTTCTCCTCTAGGTGAGGCATTTCTCTGCTATGTAGCCCTGTCTACTACTTTTCCTGGCATTATGATTTCTTACATGTATTATAATTACTCAGTTAATTGCATGCTTTCCTTGCTAGATTGTATTTGTAAGGACAGGGACCATGTCGTCTTGTTCAGAGCTGTGTCCCTAGTACTAGCCTTGTGCCTGGCTATGTCTGTATTGTGTGTGTGTGTGTTTGTTTTAATAGAGACGGTGTTTCACCATGTTGCCCAGGCTGATCTCCAACTCCTGGCCTCAAGTGATCCCCCTGCATTGGTTTCCCTTATGTGCCAGCCCTGGCAATATCTGATACTAGGATGTGTAAGGAATGAATTCAGTTGGTGTGTGTGCGTCAAACACTGCCCTGGGCCAGGGCATTAGGTGAGATGTGACACCAGTGATATGGCATCTGCTCTTTTTATTTGGACACTTGCTCTGTCCAAGCTGGAGTGCAATGGCACAATCTCAACTCACTGCAACCTCCATCTCCTGGGCCTAAACAGTTCTCCTGCCTCAGCCTCCTACGGATGCCCACCACCATGCCCAGCTAATTTTTGTATTTTTAGTAGAAATGGGGCTTCACCATTTAGCCAGGCTGGTCTCAAACTCCTGACCACAAGTGATCCATCCACCTCGGCCTCCAAAGCGCTGGGATTACAGGCATGAGCCACCGCCCCCGGCCTGGCATCTGCTCTTGAAGAGCTTGGAGTCGAGTCTAGTGGAAGGGATTGACAAAGTCACAGAGAGCTTTGGGAATACAGTAGAGGGACCTTGGTAGATTGTGAAAGGTGTCACTAAGGAGGCGACATTTAAAGGAGCTGTAGGCCCAGCGAGGGGGCTCGTGCCTGTAATCCCAGCACTTTAAGAAGCCAAGGCGGGAGGATCGTTTGAGCTCAGAAGTTCCACACCAGCCTGGGCAATCTGGCGAGACCCCGTCTCGACTAAAAATAAAAAAATTAGCTGGGCATAGTGGCACACGCCCGTGATTCCAGCTACTTGGGAAGCTGATGTGAGAGGATCACTTGGAGGGTGGAGGTTGCAGTGAGCCGAGATTGTCCCACTGCATTCCAGAGTCAGGCTTCAGTCATGACTTGATTACGTAATAGCCATGTGATCCTAAGCAAAATAACTTCACCTTTCTGCGACCCTTTCCTCCCCTGTAAAATGGGATTACAGATACCTGGCTGTGATGCCATTGACTATGTCTGGACCATGGCAAGCAGCAAATAGTAAGTGTTAGTTATTATTGGGAGGCCCAGGCAGGCAGACCACCTGAGGTCAGGAGTTTGAGACCAGCCTGGCCATCACGGCGAAACCCTGTCTCTACTAAAAATACAAAAATTAGCAGAGCATAGTGGTTGGTGCCTGTAGTCCCAGCTACTTGGGAGGCAAGTCAGAGGAATCACTTGAGCCTGGGAGGTGAAAGTTGCAAGTCGCGGTGAGCTGAGATTGTACCACTGCACGCCATCCTGGGCGACACAGCAAGTCTCTGTCTGATTAAAAAAAAAAAGACAAGTAGGCCGGGCGCGGTGGCTCAAGCCTGTAATCCCAGCACTTTGGGAGGCCGAGGCGGGTGGATCACGAGGTCAAGAAATCGAGACCATCCTGGTCAACATGGTGAAACCCCGTCTCTACTAAAAATACAAAAAATTAGCTGGGCATGGTGGCGCTTGCCTGTAATCCGAGCTACTCAGGAGGCTGAGGCAGGAGAATTGCCTGAACCCAGGAGGCGGAGGTTGCGGTGAGCCGAGATCGCGCCATTGCACTCCAGCCTGGGTAACGAGAGCGAAACTCCGTCTCAAAAAAAAAAAAAAAAAAAAAAGAAAAGTATAATTTCATATAAGTCGTCATGAGGAGGGGAACATTCCATGCTAAGGGACGCATTCATGGATGGGGCCTGGGACTCAAGAGTCCAGAGATTATGATCAGGGAGTGCCTGTCCCCCTGGGGAAGGTGGTGAGGAACGGGGTTGGAAATACAGAGGACTGTATTTCCAGTTATCTGCCTTTCTTCAGCATACTTTTATCTCAAGTTATCAGTTCAGGCCTTGTGATCAATACCATCCTAGAGGACATGCCCCCACATTCTCCGCATTTCACACGTATTTCTTCTGCTGGGGAAAGGTGCTTGCCTCTACTCTGCCTACTTCTTTTGTTTTTTGAGATGGAATCTTGCTCTGTCGCCCAGGCTGGAGTGCATTGGTGCAATCTGGGCTCACTGCAATCTCTACCTCCTGGGTTTAAGCAATTCTCCTGCCTTAGCCTCCCGAGTAGCTGGGATTACAAGCATCCACCACCATGCTCGGCAAATTTTTTGTATTTTTAGTAGAGATGGGGTTTCACCATGTTGGCCAAGCTGGTCTCGAACTCGTGACCTTGTAATCAATCCACCTCGGTTTCCCAAAGTGCTGGGATTCCAGGTGTGAGCCACTGCACCCGGCCGTGCCCTCCTTTTCTTTTTTTTTTTCTTTTTTTTTTTTTTTTGAGACAGAGTTTTGCTCTTGTTGCCCAGGCTGGAGTGCAATGGCACGATCGCGGCTCCCCGCAACCTCCGCCTCCTGGGTTCAGGCAATTCTCCTGCCTCAGCCTCCTGAGTAGCTGGGATTACAGGCACGCACCACCATGCCCAGCTAATTTTTTGTATTTTTAGTAGAGACGGGGTTTCACCATGTTGACAAGGATGGTCTCGATCTCTCGACCTTGTGATCCACCCGCCTCGGCCTCCCAAAGTGCTGGGATTCCAGGCGTGAGCCACCGCGCCCGGCAGTGCCCTCCTTTTCTTAACGCAGCATTTTGCTTTCTCCCGCAGTATTCTGAAAAGGAAGACAAATATGAAGAAGAAATTAAACTTCTGTCTGACAGACTGAAAGAGGTGAGTGTGTTTGCACCCAGCGAGCTTAGGTTTCTCCTGGGGCTGGTCTTGAAGCCATGATGGGAACTCGTTTCTTCTTACCTAGGCTGAGACCCGTGCCGAATTTGCAGAGAGAACGGTGGCAAAACTGGAGAAGACCATTGATGACCTGGAAGGTATGAGGTGACCATCTAAATAATGTGTGCCCTGCCCTGCCTCCCACTCTCGGACACATCCAGGGACAGTTGGGGGATGTGTGTGGAGGAGCTGGGTTGGGCCTTGTTTGCCTTAGGAAAGTAAAGTGCGTGGTGATGTCACATCTGGATGTCTTGGAACACTGGAATAGGATGATGCAAATAATTCAGACTTGAGTTGTTACTTTCAGGAGGTAAAATATCTTTGCTTAGTTAGTCCCATGAGCAAGTACAGAGAAATAGGTATGGCTCTCTCTGGTTTAAAAAAAAAAAAAAAAAAAAAAGTCGGGCCGGGCGCGGTGGCTCAAGCCTGTAATCCCAGCACTTTGGGAGGCCGAGGCGGGTGGATCACGAGGTCGAGAGATCGAGACTATCCTGGTCAACATGGTGAAACCCCGTCTCTACAAAATTAGCTGGGCGTGGTGGCGCGTGCCTGTAATTCCAGCTACTCAGGAGGCTGAGGCAGGAGAATTGCCTGAACCCAGGAGGCGGAGGTTGCGGTGAGCCGAGATCGCGCCATTGCACTCCAGCCTGGGTAACAAGAGCGAAACTCCGTCTCAAAAAAAAAAAAAAAAAAAAAAAAAGTCATGCCAGGTGTGGTGGCTCACGCCTGTAATCTCAGCACTTTGAGAGGCTGAGCCTGGTGGATCACTTGAGGTCAGGAGTTTGAGACCAGCCTGGCCAACATGGTGAAACCCCGTCTCTACCAAAAATGCAAAAAATTAGCCGGGCGTGGTGGTGCGTGCCTGTAGTCCCAGCTACTCGGGAGGCTGAGGCAGGAGAATCGCTTGAACCTGGGAGGCGGAGGTTGCAGTGAGCCGAGATCAGACCACTACACTCCAGCCTGGGCGACGGTGAGACTCCATCGAAAAAAAAAAATAAAAGTCTTCACAATTTCCTTTGGTTTGCTCATTTCTGATAGATGCCTGGCATTTTTTTTTTTTTTTTTTTACATGCCTTGCATTTTTGGAGAAGCTTTGTCCCAGAGAGCTCAAAGCTTATCACAGTGGGAAAAACAAAACTACGGGAAATGTAGGCACCGCAATAAAGACTCTAGTCTTGCAAGTCTGGGGCCCACATCTCCCAGAATTTCTTGGAGAGTTCCAATGCCTAACATTTGGTCTCATGTTCTTCATGTTATAGCCCAGAAATTCCAGAATCTTGGGGTTCAAATAGAATCCTCCAAACTGCCCATCCCACACAGAAAGGACGCATTCTTCAGACTGCGGGTCCCAGTGTTTTTTGGGGGGGAAGTGAGATTGCCATATAAGGGAAAATGCCCCATTCCAAAGTATGATCTTTAGACAGGATGATGTCATTGGAAATCAGAAATCAACTGGGGTGGGGGCTGTGGGGGAGAAGCTCTGTCACTCCTGGTCACCACCAATTTGAAGCTTCATTCTGGCTAATCCCCCTGTAGAACCTCAAACCCGCTTAGAAATCACTCCGTAGATCTTTTGTTTTCTTCATCTGTTCCCACAGAACACAACTTTCTCTCCGTCTGTGCTTTGTTTGCTCATGTTTTTTTTCTCCCTCTTGTGGTTCATCTGTGGCACTCCATTCTGATCCTTGCCTTCTGTCCTCCGTACCTACCTACCTCTTCTTCTGAACTGTCTTGCTGGGGACCTCCACCCTTTAGATGAGTTATACGCTCAGAAGCTCAAGTACAAAGCTATCAGCGAGGAACTGGACCACGCGCTCAACGACATGACCTCTCTCTGAGAGGCAGCCAGGTTGCTGCCCTCTGTCCTTCTCACGTGGTGCCTCCTACGCCCCTGTGGGCTTCTGGGAGCTCCCGTGCCCTGCCTCCTCTGGTTTGAACGTCAGAGCCCTCTTCTGATGTGTCTGTGACTCTATAACCGAAATAAAAGACGGGGGGGCCCTCCTCCTCACGTCCCTCACTCTCATTTTCTCCACTTGCCGCCTTTGAGCCGTAGCTGTGTGCCCTTGACCGTGGCCTGAAACACAAAGTGGGTGAGGTTAGCCTCGCACTCACAAATGAAAAGCTCATTACAAAAAGACAATTATGCCTACAGGATGCTTTTCTGAAGACGTGAAAACAAAAGCAAGTTAGGCGTGTGCTCTCAGATAGCGTTGCTAGCTAACAGCATCTGCATTCCAGCAGTTTGGTTTGGTTTTGTGATGGAGTCTCGCTCTGCCGCCCAGGCTGGAGTGCAGTGATGTGGTCTCGGCCCACTGCAACCTCCGCCTCCCCGGTTCGAGTGATTCTCCTGCCTCAGCCTTCTGGGCAGCTAGAACTATAGGCACGTGCTACCACACCCAGCTAGTTTTTTTGTATTTTTAGTAAAAACGGGGTTTCACTATGTTGGCCAGGCTGGTCTCAAACTCCTGACCTCATGATCTGCCTGCCTCGGCTTCCCAACTGCTGGGGTTACAGGCAAGAGCCACCACACACGGCCTTTTTTGGTCATCCAGGCTGGAGTGCAATGGCACCATCATAGTGCACCTCCACCTCCAGGGCTCAAGTCATCCTCCGATCTCGACCTCCCAAGTTGCTGGGACTGTACAGGCACGCACCACCACACGAGGCTGATTTTTGTACTTTTTTGTAGAAGCGGGGAGGTCTTATTTACATTGCCCAGGCTGGTCTTGAACTCCTGGACTCAGGCAGTCTGCCCGCCACACTCCCCCAAGGTGCTGCAGTTATAGGCATCAGCCACCCCGTCTGGCCGCAGCGGTTTTTCCTTAAATAGAAATTGTTGTGAATGGAGACTCATCCTTATAAACCGCTTAGGCAGCTTAAGAGTCAGCAGGGATTTGGAAAAACCAGCAAGCTGGTGTCAAAAATGCGGCTTCCCTTGAATGGGGCTTGAACTGCGAGTTCAAATAGCGGCAGTGACCTGTTGATCTTTTTCCTTCTTGTCTGGTGTTCTCTCTGTGTTACCCTGGGCTTCCCATGGCTGCTCACTGCTCATCCAGCTCCCAGTCCTGGGAGGAAGTTCACCTCCACGCCCTGCCCTTAGAAAACTGACTGTACAAGGAGTGAACAGGCCTCCCACGAACAGGGCAAGGGAGTGAAAAGTGCTGTGACCTCAGAAGAAATGAATTCAGAATTCTTTCCCAAATTCCAAAGTTGCCTGGGACGCTAACATCAGTCTCCCTTCATATTTGACTTACAGGAACTTTGCTTTAGAATAACTCGTAAGGTTGACCTGTGGATATTAAAAGGTCATACTGCCAGCCATAGTGGCTCATGCCTGTAATCCCAGCACTTTGGGAGGCCGAGATGGGTGGATCACCTGAGGTCGTGAGTTCGAGACCAGCCTGACCAAGCTGGGGAAACCCATCTCCACAGAAAATACAAGGAAAAAAAAAAAAAGGTCATACTTTTTCCTGCATGAGAGTTATGGAGAAATTTTTTTTTTTGAGACAGGGTCTCATTCTGTTGTCCGGGCTGGAGTGCAGTGGCGCCATCTTGGCTCACTGCAGCCTTCACCTACTGGGTTCAAATGATTCTCATGTCTCAGCCTCCCAAGTAGCTGAGATTACAGTCACGCACCACCATGCCTGGCTAATTTTTGTATTTTTAGTAGAAACAGCTGTTGTTGACCAGGCTGGTCTCAAACTCCTGGCCTCAAGTGATCTACCCACTTCTGCTTCCCAAAGTGCTGAGATTACAGGCATGAGCCACCGTGCCCGGCCCAGGCTATGCTTTTTTAATGATCAAAAACACGGATTTGTCAAAGATAATCCAAATTTCAAATAGTCCATCCAGTTCTCCCCTGCACCCCACCACCGCTGCCACCTCAAATTATCACCTATCATTGACATTCAGGTGCCCAAGCCACATCTTCCATGCTACCCCTTGAACCTGGAAATGCCATGAAAATCTCCAACTAGATGCACAAATTTCAGTCATCCATTCTGACTCTGATTTTTTATTTTATTTTATTTTTTTTGTCTAGGTGGGAAGCTCTGTCTCTGTTACTCTCTATATTCATTCATTCCTCCAAAATGCATCTGCCCTAAACCACCTGCACTTTTCCACCTCGGACCTCTCCCTGCCCCTGACTGCCTCGCATCCTGAACTTTTGTAAAACCATTCCCCTCACGCACTGCCATGTACATGCCGTTGGAAAGATTATAGACGGTGCAGACCAGGCGTCCCCAAACTTTTTACACAGGGGGCCAGTTCACTGTCCCTCAGACCGTTGGAGGGCCGCCACATACTGTGCTCCTCTCACTGACCACCAATGAAAGAGGTGCCCCTCCCTGAAGTGCGGCGGGGGGCCGGATAAATGGCCTCGGGGCCGCAATTTGGGGACGCCTGGTATAGAAGCTGGTTTTTGTTTGGCAATCTGTCTATTTGCCCCTGGAGTTTTCCCAGGCATTTCTGGACTCCACCCTTTCAAGTAACTATGCAGCCTGTCTATCCAGTCATTCTACCTAGCTAAGCACCTAAGTGGAATTTCAGAGATTAGTGCTGTGGCTGGATGTGGTGGCTCATGCCTATAATCCCAGCACTTTGGGAATCCCAGCACTTTGGGAGGCCAAGGCGGGCAGATCACTTGAGGTCAGGAGTTTGAGACCAGCCTGGCCGACATGGTGAGACCCTGTCTCTACTAAAAATACAAAAGTTAGCCGCTGTGGTGGTGGGCGCCTGTAATCCCAGCTACTCAGGTGGCTGAGGTGGGAGAATCAATGGCTTGAATCCGGGAGGTGGAGGTTGCAGTGAGCAGAGATCGCACCATTGCACTCCAGCCTGGGTGACAGAGCAAGACTCTTGTCTCAAAAAAAAAAAAAGAGACTTCAAATGTCCTTAAAGCATGAATGAAAAGTTAAAAAAAAAAAGCATGATAATGGATTTATGGTGGGTCCTTCTCTGTGGGCCTCTCATAGTGTCTCATGCCAGAGTAAATGGCAGCCTCGAACCATTGCCCAGCCCCTTACCTGTGGGCTGTGAGCACTGAAGGGGGTTGCACAGTATAAATGAATGAATGAATGAATGAATGAATGAATGAGAGATTAGTGCTGTGGAGGTCTCCACTATCTGTTGATAGTCTGTGAGCCTTGTCCTGATTCTCAAGGGCAGTTAACACTTTCAGGGAAAGTCATTTTGTCTCAGACCTAATAAAATAGATGCCAGAGCATCCAAGTGACAAGATGAAGTGAAGGATTTGTAGTCAAGAGACCAGGGTAGGCCGGGCGCGGTGGCTCAAGCCTGTAATCCCAGCACTTTGGGAGGTCGAGGCGGGTGGATCACGAGGTCAAGAGATCGAGACCATCCTGGTCAACATGGTGAAACCCCGTCTCTACTAAAAATACAAAACATTAGCTGGGCATGGTGGCACGTGCCTGTAATCCCAGCTACTCAGGAGGCTGAGGCAGGAGAATTGCCTGAACCCAGGAGGCGGAGGTGGTGGTGAGCCGAGATCGCACCATTGCACTCCAGCCTGGGTAACAAGAGTGAAACTCCGTCTCAAAAAAAAAAAAAAAAAAAAGAGACCAGGGTTTAAGGCCCGGTGCAGTGGCTCACATGTATAATCCCAGCACTTTGGGAGGCCAAGGCAGACGTATCACTTGAGCTCAGGAGTTTGAGACCAGCCTGGGCAACATGGCAAGACCCTGTCTCTAAAAAATAATACTAATATTTTATTTTTAAAAAAATTTTTAATAGGCTGGGCTTCGTGGCTCACGTCTGTAATCCCACCACTTTGGGAGGCCGAGGCGGGTGAGCTCAGGAGCTCGAGACCAGCCTGGCCAACATAGTGAAACCCCATCTCTACAAAAATACAAAAAATTAGATGGGTGTGGTGGCAGGCACCTGTGATCCCAGCTACTCGGGAGGCTGAGGCAGGAGAATCGCTTGAAACTGAAAAGCAGAAAGCCGGGCGCGGTGGCTCAAGCCTGTAATCCCAGCACTTTGGGAGGCTGAGGCGGGTGGATCACAAGGTCGAGATATTGAGACCAACCTGGTCAACATGGTGAAACCCCGTCTCTACTAAAAATACAAAAAATTAGCTGAGCATGGTGGCGCGTGCCTGTAATCCCAGCTACTCAGGAGGCTGAGGCAGGAGAATTGCCTGAACCCAGGAGGCGGAGGTTGCGGTGAGCCGAGATCGGGCCATTGCACTCCAGCCTGGGTAACAAGAGCGAAACTCCGCCTCAAAAAAAAAAAGAAAAGAAACTGAAAGGCAGAGGTTGCAGTGAGCCGAGATGGTGTCATTGCATTCCAACCTGGGCAACAAGAGCAAAACTCCATCTCAAAAGAAAAAGTTTTTTTTTTTTTTTTTTTTTTTTTTTTTTTTTTGAGATGGTGTTTCGCTCTTGTTACCCAGGCTGGAGTGCAATGGCGCGATCTCGGCTCACCGCAACCTCCGCCCCCTGGGTTCAGGCAATTCTCCTACCTCAGCCTCCTGAGTAGCTGGGATTACAGGCACGCGCCACCATGCCCAGCTAATGTTTTGTATTTTTAGTAGAGACGGGGTTTCACCATGTTGACCAGGATGGTCTCGATCTCTTGACCTCATGATCCGCCCGCCTCAGCTTCCCAAAGTGCTGGGATTACAGGCTTGAGCCACTGCGCCTGGCAAGGAAAAAGATTAATAAAAAATAAAGAGACCAGGATTTAAAATCGTAGCTCTACCACTTTAACCATGCCAACGTGAACAAGCTGCTTAGCTTTTCCTCAAAATAAAGGTGTTCTCTGTCATTATGAGGATTAAATGAGATAATGGAGAAACTGGCTCATACTACAGGCAGCATTCAGTTAACATCTGTTCGCCCAGACTGGATAGGCCCAGCTCACTCCTCCCAGGTCATAGTCACTTGACGTTTTTTTTTTTTTTACATGTAACCCGCTCTGTCATCCAGGTTGGAGTGCAGTGGCACAATCTTGTGCAATCTTGGCTCACTGCAACCTCCACCTCCCAGGTTCAAGTGATTCTCCTGAGTAGTTGGGATTACAGGCTCCTGCCACTACCTCGCCCGGCTAATTTTTTGCATTTTTAGTAGAGACAGGGTTTCACCATTTTGGCCAAGCTGGTCTTGAACTCCTGGCATCAAGTGATTCTCAGTGATTCATGGCAGTAATCCCAGCATACCTGTAATTTGGGAGGCTGAGGCGGGTGCATTGCTTGAGACCAGCTTGCGCAACGTGGCAAAACCCCATCTCTACTAAAAATAGAAGAATTAGCTGGGTGTAGTGGTGCACACCGTTATCCCAGCTACGGAGGCTGAGGTGGGAGGATCACTTGAGCCTGGGAGGTCAAGACTGCAGTGAGCTGTGATCATGCCACTGCATTCCAGCCTGGGCAACACATGAGACCCTGCCAATAAAGAGAGAGCGAGAGAGAGAGAGAGATAGGGCTGCCATCTTCTGCAGTCGTTTTTTCGTTCTGTAAATTTCCAGGCTGATCATATCATACTTTAGGAGGAATTTTCCTTTCCCCCAGTATTTTAATGAGTCTTGGCCTTGCCGCTTATCAGCCATCACTTATTGCAAACTTAAGTTCTCTCTCGTGCTCTGTCACGCATAGCTCTAAATGGCATCTTTTTTTCTGTCTTTCTTTTTTAATTTAAATTGTTTCATCAGCTCAGTCACTTAACAACATGCCTGTAGTCTGGGTTAAATTTCAGTCACATTGCATTTACCTGGGGTTTGTCTCCATTCCTCTGGATACATAGACAGTTACACAATTACACTTGTAATTTAAACAGCCTTCCCAGAAGCTCCAAAAGAAAGATGGGTTATAAGGTTAGATTTTCCTATCGAAGGCTCAGAGACCAATTATCTTGCACTTGAGTGGGAATTTAGATTAAGTCACAAATGTCTAGGACTGAAATCTTATCTTTGTGCAGCATGTCATAGGTTCTGAAGCATTTCTCATTCATTCCTCATCATAACCCCACACCACACATTGATAATTGTTACCCCCACTTGACAGATGAGGAAAACAGATGTAGGAGGGGTAAATGCTGATCTCAGTGGTACAACTGGGGCTTAAGTCTAGGTATTCTGACTCTAGGGTTATCAGAGTTCACAAGGAAAAACAGAGGACACCAAGTTAAATCTGAATTTTAGATAAGCAATGAATAATTTTTTTTTTTTTTTTTTTTTTTTTTTTTTTGAGATGGAGTTTCGCTCTTGTTACCCAGGCTGGAGTGCAATGGCGCGATCTCAGCTCACCGCAACCTCCGCCTCCTGGGTTCAGGCAGTTCTCCTGCCTCAGCCTCCTGAGTAGCTGGGATTACAGGCACGCGCCACCATGCCCAGCTAGTTTTTTGTATTTTTAGTAGAGACGGGGTTTCACCTTGTTGACCAGGATGGTCTCAATCTCTCGACCTTGTGATCCGCCTGCCTCGGCCTCCCAAAGTGCTGGGATTAGTCTTGAGCCACCTCGCCCGGCCAGCAATGAATAATTTTTTAATCATAAGTACATCTCATGCCACATTCGGGATATACTAACACTGAAGTATTATTTGTGGTTTATCTGAAATTCAGTTTAACTGGGCACCCTGCATTTTGTCTCCCAACTGTGACTCCCAAATTTGGTACTTGGTCCCTAATATTCCATGATGTTCTGCTGTCATTAAAAATACAAAGTACTGGCCAGGCATGATGGCTATAGCCCTGTAATCCCCACCCTTCGGGAGGCTGAGCAGATGAATTCCTTGAGCCCAGGAGCTCGAGACCAGCCTGGGTAACGTGGTAAGACCCTGTCTCTATAATGTGGTGGCATACACCTGTAGTCCCAGCTACTTGGCAGGCTGAGGTGGGAGGATCACCTGAGCCTAGGGAGGTCAAGGCTGTGGTGATTTGTGATTATACCACTGCATTCCAGCCTGGACAACAACAACAAAAAATACTTTATTCGTTGTGACTTTCACCCTGGCAGTTTGAAGTTTATAGATCTTTTTTTTTTTTTGGCTGGGCGCGGTGGCTCACGCCTGTAATCCAAGCACTTTGGAGGCCAAGGCGGGCTGATTACCTGAGGTCGGGAGTTCAGCCTGACCAACATGGTGAAACCCCGTCTTAAAAAAAAAAAGCTAGGTGTGGTGGCTCACGCCTGTAATCCCAGCACTTTGGGAGGCTGAGGCGGGTGGATCACAACGTCGAGAGATCAAGACCATCAACATGGTGAAACCCCGTCTCTACTAAAAATAAAAAATTAGCTGGGCATGGTGGCGCACGCCTGTAGTCCCAGCTACTCAGGAGGCTGAGGCAGCAGAATTGCTTGAACCCAGGAGGTGGAGGTTGCAGTGAGCCGAGATCGAGCCATTGCACTCCAGCCTGGGTAACAAGAGCGAAACTCCATCTCAAAAAAAAAAAAAAATCTTTTTTTCGGGGGTGAGGGCTGGGCATGGTGACCCACGCCTGTAATTCCAGCACTTTGTGGGGTTGAGGTGGGCTGATTGCCTGAGGTCAGGAGTTTAAGACCAGCCTGGCCAACATGGTGAAACAGTATCTCTACTAAAAATACAAAAATTACCCAGGCAGTGGTGGCGGGCGCCTGTGATACCAGCTACTCGGGAGGCTGAGGTGGGAGAATTGCTTGAGCCTGGAAGGCAGAGGTTGCAGTGAGTTGAGATCGCGCCACTGCACTCCAGCCTGGGCAACAAGAGTGAGACCCTGTCTCAAGAAAAAAAAAGAAATCTTTTTTTTCTTTCACTTAACAAATATGCTTATTAAATTATCTTTCCCCCTACTCTAATCCTCACCAGAGAAACTTGCCCAGGCCAAAGAAGAAAACGTGGGCTTACATCAGACACTGGATCAGACACTAAATGAACTTAACTGTATATAATCAAAACAGAAGCGTCTCGTTCCACCAGAAACTCCGGAGCTCCGCGGGTCTTTCTCTTCTCTTGTAAGAAGTTCCTTTTGGTATTGCCATCTTCGCTTTGCTGGATATGTCAAGCAAGTTATGAATACGTGACCAAATATTTTGTATCGGAGAAGCTTTGAGCACCAGTTAAATCTCATTCCTTTCCTTTTTTCCCCCGCAAATGGCACCAGCTTTTTCAGCGCTCTTATTTTTTCCTTAAGTTGCATTTATTCCTAAGGTAGGCAGGGTATTTCCTAGTAAGCATACTTTCTTAAGACGGAAGGCATTTGGTTCCTGGGAGAATAGGCAGCCCCACACTTTGAAGAACGAAGACCCCAATATCTAGTGGATCTATTTAAAATGCTGAAGAACATAACCTTTTGGGTCAAGGTTGGTCGGACTATAGGAGAGAACAGGGACCATCACATGGGTGGGGATTTTCCATCCAGAGCCCATAAAAGGGCTGGGCGGGGTGGGTGGGGGGCGGGCATTGTAGGAAGTCATAACCCATGGATAGATTAACCTAAGAATCCTGGCCCTTCTGCACACTCCACCATGCAGAACAAACATCCTCTCAAGCAGCCAACGCACAATGCTTGGGAAATAGTCGTAATTACCCACATATTTTCTGGATAGATCCTTGATGTGATGTTCTGCATGTTTCCTTCATTCTAAAGTTGTTCGGCCGGGTGTGGTGGCCCACGCCTGTAATCCCAACATTTTGGGAGGCCAAGGCGGGCAGATCACTTGAGGTCAGGAGTTCAAGACCAACCCGGCCAACATGGTGAAACCCCGTCTCTACTAAAATTACAAAAATTATGATGGCGCCTGCCTGTAGTCTCAGCTGCTCCAGGAGACTCAGGCAGGAGGATCCCTTGAACCCAGAAAGTGGAGGTTGCAGTGAGCCGAGATCATGGCACTGCACTCCAGCCGGGGCAACAGAGTGAGACTCCATCTCAAGAAAAAATAAAGTTGTTCTCTGAGGAGCAAATGTCTCATTCCAATAATGACCCATCCACTCAGCAGGAATATGGTGGAGTTCAGTTTAGGTCAGCCATATCCAAAAGACTACAAGTCATTTAATAAGTTGAGCAGAAGAGTTCTGTTTTTTTTTTTTTTTTCTCTTAGCAGAAAGGGCCTCTCTGGCAGCAAAGATTAAAAATTGGCCCAATTTCACTTCCATAATTCAGGGAATAGCAAACTGAAGATTTACTTATCTAGGACTTGAATTCCTTCTTTGGGACCAAGTTAATAAAAGACCAAGAAACTCCTGATTAAACTGGATAATGGAGGATTTTGTAGACAGGGCTGCACACATTGGCTTTGTTATACTTCTGTTTTCTCAGTTAACATCTCAGAGCTGGAACATTCCATATTCCCCAGCAGTGTGTCGGGGCCCACTAAAGTTTACAATTCCGACTAAAAGTCACCCTGCTTCTGGCTTATTTGAATCCCCTATCTCCCCCGCCCCACCATCCCGCTCCTATTTATTCAGCACCACACTACCCAGGAAATACACTAGCAAATTGTGCAATTGAATGAAATCCACACTTTTCTTTCGATTCTTGCAACTGTATCATATGTAATAGTATCACTTTTCTACATTTTGGTCAAATAAATTTTTACATAAACTAGAGTTTGTGTGAATTTTAGAACGTGTGCGGGTACACACAGCATTTTGGTTCAACAAATGTTAACGGGATGGAAAGAGGAAATAACAGAGCCAAGAACGAAGAAAAGGTTATCTATTTCCTTTGTATCGTAACTTCATGATACAAGGATATTACAATCTGATTACTGACGAGCACTCAGCCTCGGTAACTCGAAAACTGGCCTTCATTATTATCCCATCTTGCCTGAACCAGGCTGTAAAGAATGAGTAGGATTTTAATAGATAAGAGCAGGCAAGATCGTCTCTGTTTCCTGAGGTCGGAAGGCCTGCCTGGCTAAGGCTTTCTGAGTTGCATATATAAAGCGAAGCGGACCAGCGTGGGCAACAAAGTGAGACCCCATCTCTACAAAAAAATACAAAAATTTGGCTAGCTGCGGTGGCCAAATTACACCTGTATCCCCAGGATTTTGACAGGCCAAGGCGGGCAGATCGCTTGAGGCCAGAAGTTCAAGACCAGCTTGGCCAACATGGTGAAACCCCATCTCTACTAAAAATACAAAAATGAGCTGGACATGGTAGTACACACCTATAATCTCAGTTACCTGGGAGGCAGAAGTTGACGTGAGCCAAGATTTGCGCCACTGCAATCCAGCCTGGGCAATAGGGAGGGACTCTGTCTTGAACACACACACACAGACACAGGGCATGGTGGCACGTGCCCATAAGTCCCAGCTACTCAAGAGACTGAGGAAGGAGGATTGCTTGAGCCTAGGAGGCAGAGGGTGCAGTGAGCTATGATCCGCCAGTGCACTCTAGCCTGGGGGACCATCTTTGAGCAAGACCCTGTCTCAAAATAATTAAATAAAGCAAAGCAGAGGTAGAAAAGCTGGAAGGTAGGCTGGGCCCACACTGATGAAAGCCTGAACTTAATTTAGACAGGAGTGGAGAGCCACTAAAGACCAGAAGGCCGGGTGCGGTGGCTCACGCCTATAATCCTAGCACTTTGGGAAGCTGAAGCAAGTGGATCATTTGGGAGTTCAAGACTAGCCCGGGCAACACGGCGAAACCCCATCTCTGCTAAAAATACAAAAATTAGCTGTAGTCCCAGCTACTCCTGAGGCTGAGGCAGGAGAATCACTTGAACCCAGGAGGCGGAGGTTGAAGTGAACCGAGATCACGCCACTGAGTGCTCAGGTGACCAAGCAAGACTCTATCCCCCACCACACACACACAAAAAAAGAGACTAAAAAGATGAGGAAACAGGCCGGATGCGGTGGCTCAAGCCTGTAATCCCAGCACTTAGGGAGGCCGAGGCAGGTGGATCACGAGGTCAAGAGCTCGAGACCATCCTGGTCAACATGGTGAAACCACGTCTCTACTAAAAATACAAAAATTAGCTGGGCATGGTGGCACGTGCCTGTAATCCCAGCTACTCAGGAGGCTGAGGCAGGAGCCAGGAGGCGGAGGTTGCAGTGAGCGGAGATCGCGCCATTGCACTCCAGCCTGGGTAACAAGAGCGAAACTCCGTCTCAAAAAAAAAAAAAATTTAGCTCGCTGGATGGCAGAGAACTTTTAGAAGAGTGACAAAGACCACTACAGTTTCACGACCTGGATTTTGATATTTTGCCTTGATATCTTTTTTTGAAGGGGAGAGGCAGGGAATTAGAGAAACGAAAGCCTTTTTTAAAACATTAATGGAATCTGCAAACAACTTTCTGTTATCAAAAAAATAACAGGCCAGGCGCTGTGGCTCACGCTTGTAATCCCAGCACTTTGCGAGACCGAGACGGGTGGATCACCTGAGGTCAGAAGTTCGAGACCACCCTGGCTAACATGGTGAAACCCCATCTCTACTAAAAATACCAAAATTAGCCAGGCGAGGTGGCACATATCTGTAATCCCAGCTACTCAAGAGGCTGAGACAGGAGAATCACTTGAACCCAGGAGGCGGAGGTGGCAGTGAGCCGAGATTGCACCACTGCCCTCCAGCCTGGGCGACAGAGTGATACTACTTCTCAAAAATAAAACAAAATAAAGTAACAGCAGGCAGAGACAGGGGAGGATAACTCGAGCCTAGCCAGGAGTTCGAGACCTGCCTGGGCAATATAGCGAGACCCCATTCTCCAAAAATAAATTAAAAATAACTGTCCAGACACGGTGGCTCACACCTGTAATCCCAGCACTTTGGGAGGCCGAGGCGAGCGGATCACGAGGTCAGGAGATTAAGACCATCCTGGCTAACAAGGTGAACCCTCGTCTAATACAAATACAAAAATTAGCCAGGCGTGGTGGCACATGCCTGTAGTCCCAGCGACTCGGGAGATTGAGGCAGGAGAAGTGCTTAAACTCGAGAGGTGGAGGTTGCAGTGAGCCGAGATCACCCCCCTGCACGCCACCCTGAGTGAAAGAGCAAGACTCCAGTTCAAAAAATAAAAATTAGGCTGGGCGCGGTGGCTCAAGCCTGTAATCCCAGCACTTTGGGAGGCCGAGGTGGGGGGATCACGAGGTTGAGAGATCGAGACCATCCTGGTCAACATGGTGAAACCCCGTCTCTACTAAGAATACAAAAATTAGCAGGGCATGGTGGCGCACGCCTGTAGTCCCAGCTACTAGGGAGGCGGAGGCAGGAGAATTGCTTGAACTCAGGAGGCGGAGGTTGTGGTGAGCCGAGATCGCGCCATTGCACTCCAACCTGGGTAACAAGAGCGAAACTCCGTCTCAAAAATAAATAAATAAATAAATAAAATTAAAATTAAAGCATTTCCTTCCCATCCAACCTTTAACTGACACTGGGATGATTTAGCTGGTCAGTACAGGGAGTATGAATGAATGAAGTCACCTCTCCAATAAGGGCCCTGCCATGACTTGACCACAGTTGCCCCTTTTGTGCGTGTTTTCTCCCTCCTCCCTCCCCGCTTGGGTTGTAATCTCATCTCAGGATACTGTTTTAGTCATGCCTGTGGCCTCAGCACTTAATATGTCACACGTCACCGTGTTCAATGTTTGTTCAACGGACCTACCCAACTTCTGGGGAGTTCCCAATGCCATGAAGTATGGGTGGAACACAGGGTGAGGTTAGAACCAGATTGTGAGGGATATCAAAGGCTAAGAGGAAGATTTTGAACTTTCAGAGACCACGGATAACTACTAAAGGAAGTGAGTTGTTTTTTGAGACAGAGTCTCACTCTGTCATCCAGGCTGGAGGGCAGGAGCTCAATCATGGCTCACTGCAGCCTCGACCACCTGGGCTCAAGGAATCCTCCCACCTCTGCCTCCAGAATAGTTGGGACTACAGGTATGTGCCCAGCTAATTTTTGTTATTTATTTATTTGAGACAGAGTTTTGCTCTTGTTGCCCAGGCTGGAGTGCAATGGCGCTATCTCAGTTCACTGCAACCTCTACCTCCCAGGTTCAAGCGATTCTCCTGCCTCACCCTCCCGAGTAGCTGGGATTACAGGCCATGTGCCAACCCGCCGGGCTAATTTTTTTGTATTTTTAGTAGAGACGGGGTTTCTCCGTGTTAGTCAGGCTGGTCTCTATCTCCCAACCTCAGGTGATCTGCCTGCCTCGACCTCCCAAAGTGCTGGGATTATAGGCATGAGCCACCACACCCAGCCTAATTTTTGTAATTTTAATTGAGGCAGTTTCGCCTTGATGACCAGGCTAGTCTCAAATGCCTGACCTCAAGTAACCTGGCTGCCTCAGCCTGCCTTAGTGCTGGGATTACAGGCGTGAGCCACAGCGCCCAGCCTAAAGTAAGTGTTTTAGAATAACCACGCTGCAGGGTGGAATCTGGATTAGAGAAAATGGTCAGGGAGACCAATGGAGAAATGTGATGATTCCACTGTGGCAATGGAAATGGAAAAATGAGATTCAAGAGCTATTTGTTTATTTTTTATTTTTGAGACCGAGTCTTGCTCTTGTCACCCAGGCTGGAGTGCAGTGGTGCAATCTCGGCTAACTGCAACCTCCACCTCCCTGATTCAAGCCATTCTCCTGCCTCAGCTTCCTGAGTAGCTGGAATTACAGGCACGCACCACCATTCCCAGCTAATTTTTAAAATTTTTAGTAGAGACGGGGTTTCACCATGTTAGCCAGGCTGGTCTCGAACTCCTGACCTCAGGTGATCCACCCGCCTCGGCCTCCAAGAGTGCTGGGATTATAGGCGTAAACCATGGCGCCTGGCCCTCAAGAGCTATTTAGAACCTCCTTAAAAACCAGGATGTGACAGATGAGAGATGAAAGGCAGCTGTCAAAGATGGCTTAAGTTTCACTCGCAAGGAAAATCAGGACAAGCCAGTCTGGATATAGCTGATGAGTTCAGTTGTGAACATGCTGAGTTAGGAGTAGCTGACAAATCCAAAGTTAGATGACCAGAACACAGATGGACGTGAAGAGATGGCTCGGCTAAGGATAAAACAATGAGACTGGTCAGCGTGGAGACATTAGGAGCACCCAGAAAGTAAGAACAGAGACAGAACCACGAGGAACACAAATTCTAAGGGACAATCAGAAACCACCCCCTCTCCCCCCAAAAAAGACTGCAATGGGGTCTGAGAAAAATAACCAATCAAAGAAAGGGAGGCAGAGGTGATAGGGAGAAGAAACCAGCAAATAAAATAGGGATAGGGCCGGGCATGATGGCTCACACCTGTGATCCCAGCACTTTGGTAGGCAGAAGCAGGGGGCAGAGGGCAGATCACTTGAGGCCAAGAGCTTGAGACTAGCCTGGCCAACATGGTGAAACCCCTATCTCTACTAAAAAAACAAATTAGGCGTGGTGGCAGGCACCTGTAATCCCAGCTCTCTTGGGAGGCTGAGGCAGGAGAATCTCTTGAACCCTGGAGATGAGGGTTGCAGTGAGCAAAATCACACCACTGCACTCCAGCCTGGGCAACAGAACAAGACCCTGTCTCAAAAATAAGTACATAAATAAAATGAGGATAATACCAAGAAAAAAACAGAATATTCAGAGGTGGTCAAGACTATCAAATACCACAGAGGCTGAGGCCTGTGAAGTGGTC